GACTCAGGCCCTGCTAGAGGGAATCATTCCCTCCTGCTTTGCTAACACCAGGCTTTCTTACACCTGCTGCAAAGCTGGACTGCCAGAACCACTGTGTTTCACCTCACCCATGGCACTCATAGCACCTGAGATTGGGCACAACTTTGTCATGGCTTTGGCACTGATCCTGACATAGGAATGGGATTTGCCCCACCTCTACAAAGGAGACATCTCCAGCTAGCATAGTTGCCCAAGGGCTGGCAACTATGGTAAGCGCTGCAGAGAAGCAATCCTTTCTAAGGCGGCATTCATGTCTTGTTAAAGTAGGTGTCTGAAATAGGTCAACTGAGTCAGTCTGAGAAGTACCAATTGCTCTCCATTGCCTACTAAGGGATTGTAGGTATCTAGTTCAAATGCAGATGTGTGGTTATATGAGATTAATACCATCCCTGTTGACCTTTGGCAAGTCTCTTGCTACTTTAGTTTCATCTGCAGGCCAGCTATAATGATGTCTGCCTTATTTTGATACCTCTTCTCCAAGAACAATTAAAGGTAAAAACTGAGTTTTGATTATTAATATTATTGTCCTTTAAAAATAGTAAAGGACTCTCTCACTTCATGGGTTTGTTTGTTTTGTTTTAGCTACATTTATTTTAGCTCTTTAATTTTCTGTGCACGTTTTCAGGGAATTTATTTATTTATCTATTTATCTTTCTATCTATAGGTCTAAAGAAGAGAAGGAGAACGAGAATTCTGCTCAACCAAAGAGACTCACAACTCCTATTGGCCTTCCCATCCTGCTCCTGTGCTTCTTTCCACTCATTCATCCTAGATCTGGCTATGCAATTTAGCTAGACCAAATTCCCCCCAACCAGCCTTCTCAAAGCTTGTTGGCACTGAGAAAACAAAAGCAATGAGAAAACAAAAGATATGTAATTGCTACTTCCAATGGCTGTGTTTGGATGTGAATGCGGCAGGGGAGGGACTCTGACTGTGTGGGAATCCCTGTTGACTCAGTTGCTTTCCTCAGCACAGCTGCATGGAAAAGAGTGAAGCCCTCCAAGGTTTAAGTCACAAAGCATTGCTGAGCCAGCTACTTATAAAGGGATGAGAGTTTTGCAATCACAGGCAGATTTCCCACAGATACAAAGGTACATCCCCAGTGCAAGACCACCAACCTGACAAATTTTGAATCTGTGTCACACTGTCTGGGAGGTAAATTTTCTCAGAGGAAAGACCATCAGACCTTTTTAATGTAGATGAAAATACTCATTTTTACAGTGTTCTTGGAAATGGATGAATCCATCTGCGCTATTTTTTCCTTCTCAATGTCCCTCCACATCAAGGTAAAACTCTAGAGGCAGCTGAGGAAATTCTGACATGCTTAACAGGACTATCTCCAGTAATTTCTGTAGTAGTCAGGCTATTCACACTGCTATTCACAGCTAATAAAACAGTGCATAGCATAATTTACCCACAAATTTCATTCAGCTCCAAAGCTCAGATGACTTGCTACCCCTCCTTCCCAATGGAAAAATTCTGCTCTCACAGAGAGATTTTACAGTCAACTACACCAAACCTTAAATAAACAAGGTCAAAAAGTTGCCCATATTGGGTCTTTGCCTGATTTATTGTTGGGTCTGATTCAGTAGATATGAGTGATGTGAGTAGGTATGAGTGAGCTGAAATGCTGAGTCCACACAACCCATATTTTATATATGGCATAAGTACATGAACTCAGGCTCATGCAACGTGTCATCCACAGAAGTCATCGTAATGTTCCTAAAAATTGTTAAAAAAACGTCAGTATGGCATGAAGGAAAGATATAAAAGCTATGGGGATATCTGCATATACTTTTAAGGAGCATTTGTTGTATGTGAGCCTGTGAAGCTACTTCCTGTATTCTGATGCACCATCCTTGTTCATTTTCTGTTCAATTTACACTCTGTGTGACATTGGCCATATTTCTCAAACAGCATTGTAGGGCTGGTTATGATGCATCTCTATACCTCTGCTTGTCCAGTCTACACCTAAAGACACCAAAAGATGAGGAGTCACAGCTTCCCCTCACAACCTCTTTCAGTATTTCACCATCCCCATTATTTATCTAATCTCAACATTCCTTGCTGCTGTTTAAACCCATCCTAACTTTCCCACCATGGACATGGAAACCAGACAGCTCCCTGCCATTATGCATCAAACTTACAGTTAACTAAAGGCTGTTATCATCCCCTCCACTTTCCAGTACTCTTTTCTTGTTATTAAATCATGCTGATATTCAGGTTTTTTTTTCCAAATATAGGTTTTATGAACCACTGACCATTGTCTCCTGAATTCCCTATGAATGGTCAACATCTGTTGCAAAGCCCAGTCTCCAAAATCAGACATATCTTATAGTTGAGGACACCTCTTGGCTGTGCAGGGTAAATGACAGATGGAGCGTGTCAGGCTTCTCCATGTCTGTCACAGCATGTCACCATGTCACCATGTCACCATGTCACCATGTCACCATGTCAGGCTCATGGTCTGGTTGACTCTTACATGTCTTTCAAGGCTGAGTGGTAGAAATCAAGCATAACCAAGGATATCATAGCCACCCTGACAAGAGAAACAAGACAAACCATTCAGGAGGGAATGAAGAAGGGCAGGCAGAGTACACTCTGAACCACTAGCATCATGAGGCTAAGTGGCCCCAAGGTGGGATTTGTCATTAAATGCTTGGAAGACATCAATTTTTGCTTCACAGTATAGAATCATAAAATCATTTGAGTTGAAGGAACCTTTAACTGTCATCTTAGTCCAATTCCCCTGCAATGAACAGGAGCACCTACAGCTGGATCAAATTGCTCAGAGCCTGGTCCAGCCTGACCTTGAATGTTTGCATCCATCACAACTCTGGGCAACCAGAGGATGGTGTGTAGAATGAGTGCACTGCACAGAGGATACTCATCAGATTTCTCCTGGGCGCTGATAATCCCCACCCAATGGAACCAGTCACACTCCTGTGTTGGGATCATAAGTCACAGATAGTGAAATTTGACAGGTGGTTCTGCTAGGGCATTCACGTCCCTGGTGTGGCTACATTTATCAGTCTGCAATAAGCTTCAAGCCTCTCCTACATCATGCTTTCAAACCACAACGTATGGCATATCTCTATTTCTGCTTATACCACACTCCCAAATTGCCTTTCACACTCTTCCTGAATTGCACACAAAACCTTTGCCTTAGAACAAAGCAGTCTCAAGGCTAGAGCAGGGTCTGAGGCTGCAGGTCAGCCCACCTCTGCCAATCTGCACAGCAAGAGGCTGTGTCCTGCATTCCAAGGTTAGCGAGGCACATCAGCGGAAGCAGCTTTTCCCAAAACACCTGCTGCTCACCCAAACTCCCCTGCCTCACCTCAGCATACATATAAATCATTGCAAATATGTCAGAAGACCAGGAATGCATCATGGAAACCTTTCCCCTGTAACAGTAGCTGAGTGTAACATTTGCAAGTGTGAAGAGCTCATGTTTGTGCAATAACGCTTCTGTACACCGTGTTCCACCTGGGCCACGGGAAGAGGAGTTCACTGTGACCCTTTTGCAGCAGCAGAATTAGGCACAGCCACGCTCTCCTGCCATGAAGGAGATGAGGGAGGGAATGGAGAGCTGAAGTCTCCAATTTACTGCTAGCTGAAGCAGTAAGTTGAAGTGACAAAATTCAGATTTCCACCCACTTTCTTCTAAATCTGACATTGTGATGCTATCATTTTCCACAATTTATCTGAGGAAAAGCTACTTTTAGGTATAGCAGCTGAGTCTACTCCATAAAATTCAAATTCAAGAAATCAAGTAGTTTTACTGCTCAGTGTGCCAGGCAGCAGTGCAGGCAGTTCAGAGAGGGTACTAGTCAGAGTGACTTCAGTGGCCAGGATATGGTCAAGGCTGGTGCAACAACCAGCCTGCCAGAGGGAACACAGAGTCACTGTCAGATTGTCAGTAAAACACTCAGACATTATCTCAAATTCCCTTTGTTAAATGGGAAATCCAGCGTTACTACAATAGACTATAAATATGGGATAATCTCTACTTAAGGAAGAGATAGAAACATCTCTATTCTCTACTTAGGCGGACACAGGCAATACTTTTATTAGATCAACTGTCTTAAGTATAGCTATTACTTGGTGCATGGCAAAAACAGAGGATGCACCAAGCAGCAAACAAGGCTGAGCATTTGCCAATCATTCGTGAACAATTTGAGACTTATGGATTGTTTTTAAACTATCAAAATTCACTGGCAGAGTGATGGCAAGTTCATGATATTAACCGAGTTAATCACTCCATGCAAAGTGGAAGATGAGACACTGGAAAGAAACAATCCCAAAATACTCAATAACCTGGTGAATGGAGGAGCACTCAAGACCCATAAGAAAGCAGAGGAAACAACAACCACAGCTAGTGGATGAAGGCACATTGTTTCCCCCACGATTTCATGTATCTCCCAAAGGAAGCTTTTCCATCACGTCTGTGCCACTAATTTGAGTCAAATTTACAGAATATTGGAGTGCCAGGACTCCACTGATACTACCCTTGCTAAAGGCTGTCTGAAACACTCACCCATCCTTGACAGGAGAATTCTGTAAAGGAATAACTGGCAGTTCTGTTCTCCACTTGGCACTTATCCTGCATATGATGCAGTAGGATGGGCTTTTAAGACAAATATGTCGCCCAGGTTGAAAAAGCATAATAATCAGAACTAGGGATAAGCTTACAGCTTTTGCAAAAGAAAGCCTAAGCAAAGATCACATGATTTTTGTAGCAGAAATCAGAATTTACATTTTGTTTAAATAATACCACATGCAGTGGGATCCCAACATAAGTAGGGCCTCCAGATGCTCAGAAAATAAATTATAATACTTAAAATGTTTGCTTATTTCAATAAGGCTAATAATGTTACTAATTACACTGCTATTAACACTTCTACTGATTATTCATAGCAATAAGAGTAAAGTAGTAATGGGTGCAGCGTAACTATAACTACCTTTTCAAAATGGAGATCCCTGGAACCTCTTGCATGTTGAGCAGAAATACAGGCAACAGTCCATCTCTAAAGCTTTCATCTCTATTTGCTGAACAAATCAATGGTCGTCTGTAAAGGAACTGTTCACTTGCTAGCAGGTCAGCAGAAAGGTTGATAAACATCAGCACACTGAGAATTAATTTATTTGTAGTAGTGCCAAAGGACAGTATTTGGATAAACAGCTTTAAACTTGTCCTCATACCACCCATTTTCCTAAAAGTAGATCAGAATGGTCTTCTTTGGTATCCAAAAGTAGGTGCTTTTAAGGGTTGAAAAATCTTTATTGCCCTAGATAGTCCAAAAGCAAGAAAAAGTCAACACTGAGAGGGGCCCAGAGCAAATCCTCAGACAGGAATAACTCCAGTATTAGGGAAGTTCAAAGGCTGGTTCATATAGATATTTCACAGAAGAGCTTCCTCTGATCTGAGGACTTCTGCAGCCTGGCAAGCAATGACACCCAGGTTACAACGAAGAAACGGGGAACTTTGCCAGGAATGAGAACTCAATGGCTAAACCCCAAGGACGGTTCCTGCATGCTCTTCGTTCATGGCCACCAGCCCCCAGGATGTTGTGGGGGTCCCCAAGTAGGAGAGAAAAGTGCTGGTCCTGGGAGTACCCCTACCTGCTGTGCACATGCCAGCACAGCCCATCTCACGGCATGGGAAGAGGCCATCCAGCTGCTGACCTACCTGTCCATAGACATGTCTTCTGCTGGATTCTACTGGATATTACAAGGGCATTAAACAAAATAGTGTCGTTAGAGAGTTAATGTTGTCTCTTTCAAGCTGGTAGGGCAGGCTGCTTTTTAAGTTGACACTCATGAGGATAAGTAGCTGCCACTGCAGAAACAAGCTCCGTGATGTGAAGATCTGCTCAGTTTCCTGTTGCTTGCAGCACCCATGTGCACTTCAGCCTCTGCGGTGCCTCCTTTTGTTGTTGTTGTTGTTGCTTCTTTGGAGGAGCATAGGAGATGTCATCACCAGCATATGAAAACAATCCTCACTTGATGTTACACCAGTAGCCTATTGACATGGAACAGCACAGTAAGCCTTTTTTTGCTGATAAATAAAATGATTAACCTAACTGGTTGCTGTATATTCATCACTCTTGATACCTGGCAAACATTCTGGTTGTCAAGCAGGTAATATCTGATACATCTGTCCTGCTGTTTATCTCTTGGGCTACACTATCTCAAGCACCCAGTGCTCATCTCCGTTCTTTGCCTACTCTCTCCAGAGGTCTGATTGAAAGGTATGGTCATAATGATATATATATATATATATATATTTATTTTTACACTCTGACAGAACTAAGTTAATTCTGGAGTTCTGAAAGCTTACAAAAGCTGCAGCTCATACCTACTACCATTATTAATTCCAAACATTTGCTGCCTGCTATTATAACAAACGCTTGCTTAGGACTATATTCAGACTACCTAAAATAGCACTTTGCACTCCAGCTTTGGAACCAAAGCTCCAGGGAGCAGGAGCCATTCCATTTGAATTGGCTGCTCCCAGAGCCTTAGGAGGTAAATAGCCACAGTGTCCACGTTAAGCAATTTGTAAGTACTCGGTGGAAAACACAGCCCCTATGTCTCTTTTAGCTGGATAAAAAGCCAACTCTGCAGCCCTGGATAGCAAGCAGCTTGTTTGAGCTCTCCTGAGCACACCGTTTTGTAACTAGCATGTCAGCTAAGCTTTGTGAAACCCTCTAAGAGGCAGACAGGATACTGCCTGAAGGGCCACATTCAGATAAAGTGGAATTTCAGCTAATTTTGCATCTAGAATAAATAAAGACTGGCAGGAACTTACAAAGTCTTTTCAGAGCAGTTCAGAGAGATTACTAAGGGTGCTGAGTGCCATCTTGCTGTTATTGGCACAGATTCAGAAGGTAAAACAGCTTTCACGTGATTGTGGCCATTTCTGATCAATTAAACTATGTCCTGTAAGACTAAAAATAAATGTGCCTACGAGTCCAGTTTTCAGCTTTTGCAATCAATGAAGACAAAAACATGATTCTTCACCCTCCCACCAAGATTTAATGAAATTGCTTTTGGAAGTGTTAAAAACAGCAATTGCAATATAAATCATAAAGAAGAGATTGTTTTATACTCCAAACTACTTTAGTGACCACTGGAAAGAATACATGCCAAAACTTCCAGTGCTGGGGATGTGACAGCATCCCAGAAGAGATGCAATGTTAGCGTGTGTGTGAAGCAGTGGTCACCAAAGACAAAACTGCATTTCACATAAGGTCAGTAAAGTGCCCTTAGGTATTTTAACTAACTTTTCCTGCCAGGTATCAGAGTCCAAAATAGTTTTATTTACAACTAGTCAAATCACATGAAAAGATCTGCTGTAGCAGAGTTGTTGTTCTTTTGTGCATCTGCAAAAGAACAAGAGAAACTTCTTTCAATAAAGCACCATTTTAAGTTTCCACTCAACCAATAAACAGTCATGATACCTACATGAAATTTACCAGACTGCTTTTTCTTGGGTTGGGAATATTTTCTTTCTTTCTGGCTTTCCTTCTACAAGCACTTACAGCGGAATGGATGACATGTGTTTAGGATCTACTGTTAGTATCATCTATGTGGGTTCCTCTGCAGTTTAGCTAACAGAAACCTGATAACTTCAGAAGCACCTGTCTTCATTGCACAGCTCAGAAATCCCCACAAATTTCCTGTCCAAACAAGCAAAACCCCACGGCCCAGTGCATTAGAGACATTAGTGTAGCTACTGACAGAATGGGGAGATGGGACATGCCCTCAGCCTATGTAAAGTACTAGGCATTTCCAGCTGTTATAGAGACCCTACTAAGTGTCACTATCCTGGGATCATCAGTTGTCTGAGTTGGACTGTGTGATCCTTATGAAACCGTTCCAACTATGAATAATGTATAATTCTATAATTCCCTCAAAATCATCTCACAAGATACTAAAGATGGAAAGAAAGAAGAGCCAATACTTTCAGACTGACAGACTGTCAGTTTTGCCAGTCAACAAGTAGTGGTGCTGCAAGGTAGGCAGAACTAGACAAGAGACTGGGACCCACTGGAGACATGGCCTCCACCTGCTCCTCACAATGGAGAGGCTCCAGAGGGTGGGGTGTGAGGAACAGTGCTATTCTTGGTTGGGTTTTTCATTTCAAAAGCAGCAAATCTAACTCTATATGACGCTTCACTGCTCATACAGCCACTGCCTCTGACACAGTGGAGGCTGGTTTGCGCAAGCAGAAAAATAGCCAGATGTTCATCCTCTTGGCTGATTTCATGTCAACAGTTGTTCTGCAGACTTTACAAACAACACACGATACCAGGTTTGCGGGTCCTTGTTTAGAGCTCACCCCAGTGGGTTCAGAACACAAGAAATCCAGGAAACCTGATCAGAATTAGAACCCACGTGTGGTGAGAAACCCAGTTGGATCTTCAATTTTACCTACTAGTTTCGACACTTTGAAAAGTCTTGTCCTTTCCTTTGCAAGGCTTTACCAAATGTTCCATGTCTTGACGGGTGGAATGAGCAAGAGAATTAGCAACATAAACTGAAAGTGTGCAAATAGGAGGGACTGGAAGTCAAGCAATGACAGAAAAGCCTGAGACTGAAGAAGGAGCTCCAGAGAGCCTCTTGCTTCCCATGACTGAAGGTGAAGTCCATGGTGGAGGGAGAGGCAAGTAATGCCATGACAAGGAGCTATGTTGAGCACAAGAACTGAGGCTAATGAGGCAGATTCATACCAGAGCAGGACAATGACATTACTCAAGCAGCCCCAGAGAGAGATCAATCCATTGATCTAATAATGAGAAATGACCAGGAGTATAAATGAAGAGGGAGAAAGATGAAAGAAAATGATAGATCCTCCTGGAAGACATGTTAAGGCACATGAGGGACACGCACGTGATCCGAAACAGCCACCATGGCTTCACCAAGGGGAAAGTTGTCCCTGACCAATCTAGTGGTCTTCTATAATGGAGCGACAGCATCAGTGGACAAAGGGAAGGCAACTGATGTCATCTACCTGGACTTCTGCAAGGCCTTTGATGCTGTCCCCCCCACACACACACACATCCTTATCTTTAAATTGGAGAGGCATGGATTTGAAGGGTGAACTATTTGGTGGATAAAGAATTGGTTAGAAGGTCACAGCCAGAGGGTTGTGGTCAATGGCTCTATGTACAGGAGGAGGCCAGTGATGAGCGGTGTCCCCCAGGTGCCTGTCTTGGGACTAGTACTCTTTAACATCTTTACTGATTGCACAGATGATGGGATCAAGTGTGCCCTCAGCAATTTTGCTGCTGGCAACAAGCTGAGCAGTGTGGTTGATACAGAAGAAGGATGGGATGCCGTCCAGATAGACCATGACAAACTTCAAAGCTGGGCCCATGTGAACTTAATGAGGTTCAACAAAGCAAAGTGCAAGGTTTTGCACTTGGGTCAGAGTGATCCCAGATATGTATACAGGCTGGGAGAAGAAGTCCTTGAGCCCAGCTGAGAACTGAGGACTTAAATGTTCTGGTAGATAAAAAACTTAACATGAGCCAACAGTGTGTGCTTGTAGCCCCAGTGCCCATCAGTATCCTGGGCTGCATCAGAAGAGGGGTGGCCAGATGGAAGAGGGAGGGGATTGTCCCTCTCTACCCTGCCCTCATGAGGCACCCTCTGGAGTATTGCATCCAGGTCTGAGGCCCCCAACACACAGGAAAGATGGTGCTTTTGGAGAGGGTCCGGAGGAGAGCCATGAAGATGATCAGAGGGCTGGAGCACCTCTTCTGCTAAGACAGGCTGAAGGAACTAGGCTTATTCAGTCTGGAGAACAGAATGTTGTGGGGAGATCTCATTATGGCCTTCCAATACTTAAAGAGAGATTAGAGATGGGAGGGAAATCAATTTTGTATGTGGGTAGATAGCAATAGGACAAGATTGAATGGTTTTAAACTGAAGGAGGGAAGATTTAGATGTCAGGGGAAGTTTTTCACTGAGTGGGTGGCAAAGTGCTGGAACAGGTTACCCAGAGAGGTTGTGGATGGACGTGCTCAAGGCCAGGTTGGATGAGGCCCTGGGCCACCTGATCTACTTGATCTAGCAGTTGGCAACCCTGCCTGCAGCAGGATTAGAAACTTGGTGATCCTTGAGGTCCCTTCCAGCCCAAGCCATTCTACGATTCTTGAGTCTATAAACTCAAAGAAAATCTGGCAGCAAAAAGAAAGCGCTGCAGTGGCAGGTGACAGTGAATAGTTCCAGCCAAAACCATGTGGAGAATTTGTGGTGGGAAGTCATTAGACCTGCTGAATAAGGAAACTGGAATTTGGGATAGGAGAGATAAAGATGAGAGAATGACCTGGCTGAACATGGAGAAAAGGATTGGAAAAAGCAGCTAGATTTTGCACAGAACAAAGCAAAAGAATGTGCTGATCTCATATACTCAAGCAAGCAAGCAAGCTTCTGAGCCCAAAACAGGACTGTGCCTTGAGGTAGACATAGGACAGGTAGACATAGGAGAGAAAAGTAAATTATGATTTAGTTAAAAATCCAGGAGTCTTTATTCCTGGATTGATTTGGAAGAGCTGAATTTTCTAGCCTGGATTTCCTGTAAGGTGCTTTGTGCCAGAAGCCAAGAGTGTGAAACTATGACTGTCTTGTGTGATTTATTGTTGCTGAATCTTCAGCTGAAAAAGTCTGTTGGTCTGTCTTGTTTGTCATCCATATTACGGTACCTAATCTCACATCTGATCAGTTGTCAGACAAGGCTAGTCAAGACTTTCTCATCTCCATTACCTGTCCCCCATCCTAGTCTTTCCAGCCTACTGCTCCACCAGTTTCTCCTTTCTGTGGGAGGAGACCTTACATTACCTTTAGAGGGCTGGTTTATTTTTACCTATGTTGATCTTCATTGTACTATGTTTTCCAAGCATTTTAAACACTGATGTGTCTCTTGCTTATTGGTTCTTTGTCCTCACTGAGGCTCAGACTCCTCCAGATAGTGTCATCTGAAAGGTGAGCCATCATTCAACAGAGCCCTTAGCAGGCATCTCCTTGGATCTGCATGTCTCAGAGGCAACCAGACAGATAGGGACTACCAAAGAAACAGAAGGAGGACAGATCTGACAGCAGTACTAAGGACAACTGTACCTACAGCTCCAGCTTTCCAATCCTATTTCAGAAGCAAGACCAAGCTCCTTGAACAGCATATGGTCTTGTGCAGACACATCCCAGCCTGAACAGAACACTCTCTGTGGGTCTCCAGGCCATTCTACACAGATCTGGCCATGGATTAGGGGTATCCAA